CCCGCGGCTGAGCCTCCCGCCTTGTCCCTTCCGCAGGCCAAGATCGCGGGCATGATGGAGGGCAACCAGCAGCTGGCGCAGCGCATCGACGGAGCCCTGCAGGCGGCCGGGCAGGAGGTGAGCGCCCTGCGCGCCGAGCTGACAGCCACCAGCCGCAGACTGGCCGAGCTCAGCGCCTGCTCGGGCGCCGCGGGAGGCGGCGGCGGCGGCGGCGGCGGCCCCAGCGCCGCGGAGATGGCCGCCGGCGGCGCCATGGACAACAGCCAGCCCAGCCTGCAAGGTAAGGGGCAGGGGCTGCCGGGGGCGGGGGGCGGCTGCCCGGGCGGGATCGGGGCCGGCTGCGTCGCGGGGCGGGCGGAGCTGCCGCCCCGTGGACGCGGCGGCGGAGTGGGAGAGCAGCGGAGCTCTGCCCCCTTGCTTTTGACCCGGCACGTGCTTGGGGAGAGATGGGGGGCAGCGTGTGTGTGTGTGTCTCTGTGTGCTCGCTCGCGCGCGCGCTCGTGTGGGGTCCCCGGCCCCGCTCCGCCGCCGCCGCCTCTGCTCTTGCAGGACGGTCCCCCCCTCCCCGTGCGCGGGCTTACTCGGGAGTCAGCCTCCGCGGGGCTTGCGCTCTGCTAAGGGCGCGCGGGGCTTCCGCCTCAGCACCCGCGCGCCCCAACTCCAGCCGGTGCCCCTTACTCGGAAGTAAGTCCCGCGGTGTTGCGCGGCGCTTTCCCCCACCCCCCGCGCGCAGGATGGCGTCCTTGCAGCGCGGTCTCGGGCCTGGCTTCCTTCAGAGTAAGTCCCGACTGCGTGCACGGAGGGATGGGGGCCGCTGCGATCCCCAGCGTGCTTTCTCGGGAGTAAGCCGCCCGTGTTTCCCCAGTCCTTGAGGCTCTGCTTCGGCATGCTTGACGTGCACCCATTCAAATCAGCGGGAGTCGCTCCATCCAGGTAGGGCTCAAGTCCGCTTTATTTCAGTGGGTTTACTTTTAAATATGAGCATGCCTGGATCGAGCCCATCGTGTGCAAACTTTTGACTGCCTTGGCTCTGCTCTTCCCCCATCTCCTGTTCCTGCTGGGAATTTCCTTGAAGAATTTTCCCACTCTGGGTTTGCTGACCCCCGTTTCGGGATGGTAAAGGCTTGTTGGAACGCGGGCGGGGGTGTGGGCTTTCTAAAACTTGAGTTTCCTTGCACCATCTCCTCCGGTGTGCTTTCCAAAGGGAATTGTGATGGACTGCTTGCTACTTTGCATCTTCTTCGATGTTTTGTTATCCCCAAGTTTGCGGCCCCCCCCACTCCGCCTGCCCCAGGGCTTCTCTCTCCTTCCTCTTGGATTTTTTCCAGCTAAACAAGCTTTTGTAAGAACATCACGACGCTTTGGTCTGCAGGGCGGAATTGTGGCGCAGGGTTGTTTGTAAAAAGCGTGTCCGGTTTTGCGGAGCTGCTTTGAGACTTCGGGAAGAATGGACTCCGGGAGAGAAGGGTGATCGTGCTTGGATGGAGACCCTGTAGGACAGCTCGACATCTTTCTGCATTATTCCTTCTAACGCCCTGATAGTTGTCATTGTTTAATAGGAGAGATGCATGTTAGCCCTTCGGTGGCCACCTCTCGGACGGTTCCTGGCTTTTGTCCAGGGTGAGCAATTTTCCCCAGTGCCTGCTAATGCCAGCAGTGAAAGAGGTGTGACAGTGTTGGTGCTTGAATTGGTGATGGTACCGTGTCTCCCGAGCGAGCAGGAAATGCGCGGACAGGTGACCCTTAAAAATGCTTTGCTCCGCACCTCCGTCAAGGCAAGAGATCCATGTGAGATGCCTTGGGAAGCCAGCTTAAAATGCTGCAACGGACGCCCCAGAAATGGGGGAGTTTTTAGGAGATGGTGCCGGGGTGATGATGTCATGGCAATTTCTCTGGTGTGTGAGGGTCTTGTGAATAGCATGATCTTCCCCTTCTAGTCTCAGCAATGCTGCTAGAGCAATGAGCTTGGAATTGACTTGCTGTCCAAGAGGTAGAAATATTTTATGTTAAAAAGACTGCTCTTCCCTCTCTCCTTCGTGTTGCAATCGAGGCTCCGCAGACACCTGAGCCAGTGTTCTGCTTTGCGTGGAAATACGACCGTTCTCTGCCGCTGTCCACGCTTGGGAAAGATTCTGCATTTGCTTTGTGGAGAATTTGCTATCACGGGTTGATCTGTGGTTCAGATTTTTACTGGAGAGCCTGGGGGGGGGGGGCAGGGGGAGAGGAGAAATCTTCATAAACTGTAAGCTGATTTGCCGTGAAAACCATTGATGGATATGTGATGATGTAAAAAGATGAGCAAAGAAAGATGCTATGCGAAGGAGCTGTTATGTATTGCTGTAATGAGGAAATGGCTGGAAAATTATACCGGAGCAGCAAAGCCCCCAGGCTTAAAACAAGAGTTCAATATTTTGTATTCTGCCTTGCAGCCATGAAATAAACTTAAGGAGACTTCCAAGCACCGTGTCTTGTAAATTGCGCAGCAAAAGCCAGGAGATGCGACCCCGGGCTGCTGGAGCTGTGCACTGTGTGATTAATGGTCTTCCTTTTTATATCAAGGGTTATCAAATGGGGGCTGTTGTGAAGATGGCAGATGTTTTCAGTTCTTCTGGCAGACGGCCGCATCCCCCGACCCCACATACCTGTTTGCGTAGCAGTGAGGGAAGCGGTGGCTCGTCGTGGCGTCTGAGCCTGTTCCCTGATGCAAAATGCTGGACTGGGCCTCCCGATGCTCGAAGCAGCTCTCCTTTCCACAGGGCCAGCGGCCGCACTCCTTCCCGTGTCCCAGTCTTTATCGGGAAGACTGGCTCTTTCCCTGGGAGCAGTTTTATTTTCTTAGACCTTTGCAGGTGGTACTCAGGTGGCAACAGAAATCCAGGTGGGACTCTTTGCAGCTGGGCACATGTTAACTGCTAACTTTAAAGGGACAGTGCCTTTTTTAAGGCTGTGGTGGCTGACTATGTGATCTAGAAACTTGAAAGGGTCCCTGCTGCAGTGATTCATCCCCTTCCCTCAAAGGGCCTGGAGGTGTCATGCGACTTCAGGTGGCCAGGCTAAGAGTGAGCGCTCATGGTGCCATTCAGACAAACACCTGAACTGGGGTTCTTTGTCATATGTCAACATTGTGCAGTAAACCGTTGGAAGCGTTCTGTAGCTTAGAGATGTGAAGTTCCAAGAAAAAAAATGTGGATTTTTTTATCTTTTCCTAATTTTGGAGGGAAAAATGGGAACATACATGCCGTTGTTGTTGTTGTTGCTTAACTTTGTGTGGTTTCTCCCCCCCCGCCCCCATGTATTCACATCTTTAACATGACTGTATAAAAATATACCCAAATTTATGTACTCAATTTGGTTTCTTTCTTTTCTTGTTTTTACTTCTTTAGGGTTTGTTTTGTTGACATGTACAATAACAGATTTATTTTTAAAATGGATGAGTTGATCTTTCTCTCATTGACCTTTGGAGTGTACACACACACTCATGTACATATACGTATACAAAACGTACATATATACACATGACATAAATGGAACGTTATGACTTGCAGAACCCAGTCCTGTGTGTGGGCTGCAGGATGGTTTTGGTTTATATGGTTTTATTTCATTTAAAGACCTTTAAAATTCATTTTCCAAATCAGCTATTTTATTTTGTTCACAATTAATTCAGAGCCGCTCTTAAGGATGGAACCCCTCTCCTAGGTAATGTGCCAGCTGCACGAGCGCATTCAAGCCAGCAGTAAGACTAACTGGCCCGGGAGGCCAGCAAAAGCTTTCCTACTGACCTGCAAAGGAACAGCCTGATGAACGGCCAGTGGAACAGGCTGCTGCCAAGGCGCTCTTTGCACACTCCCGGTTCACCACCCGCCGTTGCACTGGCAGCCCGTGGCCGCGGGTGCAGCAGCTGCGTTGTGTGCATCCGCTCATCAGTACCTGGGCAGCCGACATTTCTGAGCAGTCTTCAGAGGCGGCTCCGTGTGGATGCCTGACAGTAGCCCAGCCTAAATGAGAGCCTGGTAAGACTGGCCTCCTGCCTGGTGCTGCAGCTTTCGTCGCAGGCGAAGGCAGCAAACGGTGAGCCGTCCCGCACAGCCCACGCGTCCCAGTTCGGACCAAGGCCAGGGCTGCTCCCAAGCCGGGAACTTGGTCCTGTGGGAAGTGGGCAGCCCCTTCAGGCAAGGTCTGCCCCTCGGCCCACCCTGCCTCCGGTTTGTCGGCTTTCCGTCCCCATTTGGTCCTGCCTGCCGGTGTTGTCCAGCTGTCCGGTCCTGCGGGGCAGCCTGATTCGGGAGGCGACTTCTGGGGACGTTTCCCATGGCGGCACGTGATGGAGGGCTATTCTTTCTTCACTGGCACGTGGGTAGCGGGAGGGAGGGAGGGGTCAACCCCAGCCATCGAAAAAGCAGGCAATGCTCACCTGGGCAAGCCACGTGCCAGCAGGGGGCAGTGGGTGGAGTCCATCCAGCGGCTCGGCTCCGTTTCTTCCCATCGCCTGATCCGGGCCGAAGGGACGGGGAGAGGAGGTGCCGCGACAGCCAGGCGGGAGGCCGATGTGGTGCAAACATTCTGATCCATTTCAGCATATTTGAATTTTACCTGCTGTGTAATTATCTTCAAGTTTGCACTAGCTGAACTTGGTATTTTTTCCATAATCCAATTATTTGGCCTTGTGCATTTGAGGTAGTTTAGAGCAAATTCAAAGCTTTAGTTGGACATTATTTTTATTAGACTGCTTGTAAATACGTGTCAGGGCTTAACAGCTGAATAGCATATGCTCCTTTTACATTGTTTAAAGGATAAAAGGAGGAAGGAACGACAGATGCTGAAATCGGCGCACTGCATTCCACGCAGCCACCCAAAGAGCGATGCGTGACATGGGCTGGTTCATGTCTTGTTTTTAAAGGAGCCGGTTTTGTTTGAGGCTGTTATGAAGAGGGAGAGCAGGCAGCTGTGCGGGTTCTGGACCCGGGTCCCTGGTTTTGGGTGGGACGCAGACTGGCTGTTTTGTAGGCTTCCTTCCCCTCCAACGGTGCATAGCAGTGTTTAAATATGGCATTGTAATGCATTAATCACTCAATCAGAAGGTGTTTGCAAATACGGTTAGGGATATATAAATCTGCCCACGGTCTTCTTCTGAACCAGGGCTTCTAGTTTATTGCTCTCCATAAGAAACCAGAATCTAAAGCTCTGGTCTGAAGTGCGTCTTTTCTGTCTGTTTTGGCAGGAGAGCCACGAGCTGGGTTCCGGGTTTGGGTTCCCCATTACTTTCTGGTTAGAGCAATGGTT